GGGAATAATTGAAAGAAATCTGAAAGACATTTATTTGTTACTTCCCTGAGACACGTAGTCAAATCTTGATCAAATCACTTCATCCCCCTGCTTAAAACCTCCAATGGCTTTCCATTGCATTCAGCTTTAGAATACAATCTAAACCCTTTGTTCTTGGCAACAAGGCCCTAACTTAGTTTACTACCTACCTCCCTTCTTTCATCAGAATATGAGCTCCATGAGACATAAGGAGCTGTTTTCCTCACCAATATACTCCCAAGACCTAGAATACTACCTGATACATAACAGGTACCTAAATATTTGAAGAATTAAATAATTAGCTACACCAATCAAAGACAAACCAAGTATTGATAATTCAAAATGGGAAATCTTTCAACCATTTACAAGTCAAAGATACACTCAACTTTACCTATAATTCCATTGTATCTCAATCCTATTAGTAACCTAGTTAGGAGGTAGTAGAGAAAAGTGATGGTTCATTGATGGAAAACAACTTACGTTGTGTACACACACACATACTCACTCAATCCTACAATTGCTTTCAATTTCAAGATAGACTACAATCACATTATTTTTTAGATTAACTGAAAACTCAAGGATACTTCAATCAGTTTCTGGCTATGTACCCCTCAGCCAAGTCATAAAACTTTTCTGGTACCCCTTTAGCATTTCATAAACTCAACAGCAACGCTTCTTCACAGACAGTTATAAGGTAAAATTAAATACTAAGCTAGATTGAATTCCTGGGAGATATAATTACATGACTATAAAACAATTACTTAAGTGACAATTTTAAGTAATAAATTCCACGGCATTTGCAGTTTCATTCTGCTTGTCTCTTCAATAGCTCTGAATTTATCTTCTGGAAGCTCCTCTCAGCTTCAGAATCTGAACACTATTCTGGCTCTCCTACCTGAGCCTCTTTTCTAGCACCATCTTCCCTTCCCATGCCTTAAATATGACATTACCCCAAGTTCATAACTTCAACACTCTACTCTCTGTGGGTTAGTGTTGCTCAACCCATGGCCACTGACCACAGACTACATCAGAATTACCCGGAGGGCTTGCAAAAGAACAAAGACTCCTGGGCCATGTTGGCCCTAACAAAGCCCAGAATTTCTGGGGTTGGAGCCAAGGGCCTGTATGTTTCCCAAGAACCTCAAATGCTGATACACTATAGTATGAAATACACTATCCAGACATTTTCTCCAGTTTGCAGCTTTAATCCCATCCCAGCCGCTGGAAAAAAAGTGAGGTATGACAGTACAGTGACCAAGAGCCCTAGCTAGAACAAAAGCCTGGTTAGAACCCTGGCTCTATCACTTACTAGCTGTCAGACTATGGTCTGTGGTGAAAAGTGGATGAGACAATGTTTGTCGAGGACTTGGCAGAATGCTATTTAATAAGTGACTGCTATTAGTATTGTTGCTTTACATCAGCACCCCTCAACTGATTATCCATCCTCACTCCCCACCTGCCTAAAACTGGCTTGCCTTTCAGGACTCCCTATTTTGTTGACCCAACTACATTACCAGTTTTCTAGGCTCAGCCTGCATCTTTTCCATGTATCAACTTCTATTATTATTCATGCTTCTTGGCCTGACATCTCAATCCCAACCTCCCTCCACCATTCTATATCCTTCTCTAACTAACAAATTATTTTGTAAAGCCTTTCTTGACCACCCCAGCTTAAAGTTCATATACTCAATCATATACCCATATGGCCAGTAAAAATTCAATTAATCAAATTTGACCTGTGACATCTCTCATAGTTGTCTTAAACTATGAACTTTTTTCCCCTGATATTTAACTATTTACCTGTTTATATCTAGTTTCTCCAATTAGAGTACAAGTTGCTGACAGGGGTAGACACTATTTGATACTTTGTTCTACATACTCAGCATCTTAGTTCTTAACATACAGCCAGCATTTAATTTATACAGGAACCCTACCTGAATGCTTAATATCACAGCATTTGGGTACAGAAGCATGCTAAGTAATTTTACCTCAAAATCAAAATCTCTTTTTGGTTGCTTCTTAGCAACAATCTTGTCTGAGGTTTGAAGGAATTTTGTTACTCAATAAACTCCTCTGCTTAGAACGTATAACTAGGTTATAATCCAAGTTTTTAAGTAAAAATCCTATTTTAACCAGAAAAGCTTAAAAAGAGCAAACTTGAATGGGAAATGGTGGTGATGGTCAGATAAGCCATAACCATATATCCTATTGCAAAGAAGAAAAATAGATGCTGTACAAGCCATAAGCACTAAATTTATTGCCTCAGATAAACAGCTTGTAAATAATAATGTGCCTTAAGCTACTGAAGTGGCAATTTATAAAATCTAGGTTGTTTTACTAAACTCAGGGTAATCCCCATTTTCAATTTTAATACAACCAGACTTTTCAAAATGAGCACAAGTCAACTCAGGGGTGTTCTTGGAACTATTTCCTTTATAGGAGAACCCTAAATTTAGATCATACAAAAGACACTGGAAAAACCACACATATAATTCCAAAGGGCACTTTCCAATTTATAAAACCAGAACTCTAGATCTAATACTCAACCCAATTAATATTTTTTCTTCATGGTACAGCTGGAAATAAAATGATTTCATGAGTAGTTTCAAAAAACTGTGTATCCTTCCATTTTGCATGACATGGTTTCAGATACAAATAAACAAATGCACTGTCTGCAACATTTTTTCTTCTTCTTGAAAGATGAAGCCTGAGATCTTAGAAAGATACCAAACATGGAGAAATATGTAGAGTGTAACAAAATCTTCCTCAAATTGCCAGTGATTTTAAATATTTTTTTACTAATTGTAAAAACTACTTAACGGGCTTTCAGTAGTCAGAGAAAGAAAACACACTGGAAATTAACATTTCCAACAGGAATAAACTGTTTAAAGAAATGTACATGAGAGATCATTTACCAACTCATGTTTTAAAAACTGTTGAAATGACATACTGAGAACCTAAAAACCATCGCACTTCACTTTTCCCCTCTGGAAAGAGATGAAAGATAAAAATCTCATGAAAAAGAAAAATTCTCTTCAAAATATTTGATCCCATTTAAAATAAGGCAAGGAAACCTAAGTTGTATTATACATTCAAGAAGTTGTGCTTGTATTAAGCGGCCAAAGCCTCACACTTGATTAATGTTGGAGGGAGGGGCTGGAAGGGCTCAGAAGGCTGGCAGGGCTAAATGGACAATGAAAATGGTTAAGCGCTAGATCTTCCTCAACACTGCCCATTCACCTCCTAAAGTTCATTGTAGCTACCTAATTTTATAATTAAATAAATCTCCCTGTGGAAAAAGAACAAAATTAACTATTTTGGCTAAGTTATCTGTCATTCCCAGTCTGATAATACACTTTTTTGCTATACATACTAAAATATTCTTAACTTGGAGGTTTAGAAATCAGTGTTTGTAATAAGCAACATTTTTACACCAGCTGAGTTCTTCCAGCACCATTAAATCACCACTAAGGGTGAAGGCTATGGCTAAAAGAAAACGTCAATTTTTTGTAGATCCAAATCCATAACCAGGATTTTAATACTTTGGCTCTCACATTAAAATAATTTTTTCAAACGTTAAAACAAATTTTAAAACTTAAAACTCAAAATATCAAGTAGAACAAAAGTTCTGGCCTGCAACTTTGTTAATACAACACTTTGGTGAGGGGAGGAAGCTAGTAACAGCAGCAGAGTACCTAAAGACTTCCAATCAGAGAAACATACCCCAAAACATTAAAAGCCCTCACCCTAATAATTATAATGCATTTTGACCTCTAAAAACCCTCTTACCTGTTTACAAGAGTTTATACAGCTGTTTGCCACTGGAACACCACCTTGCAGAGTATAAGCGTGGCATCCTTTGTTGATAATCACCTGTTGCCTAAGTAATCATCATCCCGCATGGAGACAGACAGCACTAGGCCTCTTCCATCCGAGGTTAAAATTCAAAACAAGCCCAACAAGCCTGCATTTCAAGGTGGTCTTCGTCTGCAACTAGTTAAGTTTAAAACTGGCAAACAACAATGGTGTCTGAAGCCAATGGTGCAGCACTGCTGGCTTCCTCTTGAACTCCAGCGTTGTCACTGTGCACCGAAGTCTCCTGCTGCAAACAGGGGAGTTGTTCTCCTGTACTGGAAACAGCTTCCAAAGCTCAGGAGCCCCTGTACAGGATAATGCAGGAACTAAAGGCAAACACTTTTTCCTTCTTAAGGATGCCTCCATTTTTTCCTCACAATCTGTACTACCAACCGAAGTGACTGGGCCTGAGTGTGCGTTCGTACCTATGAAACCGTCACGGTGCATGCACATCCAAGGCATGTGGAACCACAGGTCAAATAAGGCACAGATACCAAGTAATGGTTCTAATTACAAACGCTAGCTCTCAGGAACTCTTCATCCATTCAGAACTAAACCCATCACTGCATAACTCTGGTAAGAAGCCCCTGAAGATGGAGGAGCTCCTCAAATGTGTCAGGAAAGGCTTTATTAACATCATCATTAACATTTAAAAAGCAAGCGGAGCATTTCTCCTTCTTTTGGCAATTTGGTGCAAATGTTAAGAGCAAGATAAAGCAATTTCAAACTTTTCTTCAAATTAAAAATGAAACTAAGGCCAAACGTGATGGGTGAACAAAATAAATCAAAACTTAAATTTCAGCAACTCCGGCTCTTCAAACCAGCAAAGCCCCCGACTCGTGCACTGTGGTGAGGCTTACGGTGCTTGCCCCGGCTTCTTGCGTGCCAGCAAACAGCACCATTTCCTCATCAAGTTGAGGACTGAGAAGCAAACGATCCCCTTCACTGCAAACAAAGGGGGTCACAGTAACACTAGTGATCCTTCAGAATTGACACACTGTGATAGTCAAAATGATGGTCTCCCTGCTTCTTGCTCAAGACATACAAGATCTGAGCAGCAGCAAGTACCCCCTCAGCTGCAAACAAAGGGGTCAAAGGTTTGCCGTCAATTCACTTCCAGGCAGAAAAACATTTTCCTCAAAAGAAACAATTTATTTAGAATAAAACAAAAGCAGCTCAACTGTGAGCGCACGTTTGAGTGACAGCTACTTTTAAGCTGTGTGAGCCATAAAAAGGGTTTTTCTTTTCCAGAAATCTTGTGTACACAGCACAAAGCAAGGTCATTTTTTTTCCACTTAAAACACCGGCATTGGCATCACAATAGCAGATACACAACTTTAAGCTGCCATTTTAGTAAAATGCACAAATACTAAACAGATTAGCTTTCTTCCATCAAGAGGCCCATGTAAACTCCACATAAGCCACAACTTCTCTTCAAAAAGGTCCATTAGAGCTTTGAATTCCGTATCTTCATCCGTTGTTCACCAGTTTTGCTTGCGAGGGGGGGGGAGGGGAAAAAGGTTATTCAGTACAAACGTTTACAATATTAAAAATATATATATTTCCCCTATGCCATTATAGCTAAACATAACATTAACAAGACCTTCCTGGATAGTCCACCTTGACTTCAAAAAGCACCAATAATACCCACTGGCACAAACCTTGAAATGAATTTACTGTATGAATAGACAACAAGTAGAACAATAGGGTGGATTTTTTTTTAAAGACTGCAATTAAGTGAGGATTATAGGACTGAAAATATCCTTGGTACTCATGTAACTGAGTAAAACATATCAGAAAAAAGCAAGTTTACAATCAATTTATAATCAATATATTCTAAATATAACTTAAAAAATGAAACTATAAAAAGGTGGAGTTTAGTCAAACTTTTACCCCCTCTATTTTCATTCTGTAATTTATATGGAGCAATACAGACCTACTCCATTACTGTACAAAGGGGTCAAGATACAAAGCCTTTTAAAAATCCACCTTCATCTGTGTTACCAAAGACAGCAGCTGTTATTTTCTTTTAAGAAAACCCTCATACAAACAATCGCTAAACAGCCAAAGAACACTGTAGGACTTTTACTTTCCAACTCTGTTTACATCATACATGTAAAACTCTTCATTAAGCTAGACAGTTCACCGTGGTTACCTGAAATCATTTTCTCCCTTTAGGCACATCACTAAAACCAGAATGTTAAGAGGGTCAGCTCCATTTCTCTTCTTGTTCTCATACCTATCTCCTATCTCCAAACCAAACACTGTGGCAGAGACAGAATAAAAATGTCCAGAAATTCTCTCCAAAAATTTTTTCACAAAAAAGGTCATTAAGGCCCTCTTCTCAACAAGATTTCCTAGTTCTATTACCACAGTTTTTGGTGAGTGGGTCCTATAGGGAACCAAACTGCAGTTCAAGCTGTATCTGCAAATGAGCAATTTCACTGTCTGAAGAAAGTGGATTTAAAATCAAAAAGACAAAAAACAACACAAAAATTGTCAGTGAAAACCTGCTCATAAAATAGTTTTTAAATAAACCTAAACAAGTGACTCAGAAAGCAACACCCAACTTACTTTTACTATTGTACCTCAAATGATCTGAGTTAAGAAGGTCCAGAGTATACATATTACCTTCAAAATGTGACAAGAGCTTATACCAGCCAGAGGATGGACATTTTAAGATATAATCCTTAAAGGGAAAACTCTATCTACTCTCAGGTGAGAGTCAAAATATACATCTTAAACCAGGAATTTAAATTTTTTGCATGGAAAACTCTTTATAGGGATACCAGTTATAACCAACAAAATAATATAAAAAAATTGGCTAGGAGCTGAATGATTAATTTTTCATAAACTTTGAAGTTGTGATTAAAAATCTAAATTAGCTTGATGGTTTATTTTTTTTACCAGTAATACTTAATAAGTCATTTAATGATATCCTGAAGAAATTCTTTCCATTCATTTGAACTGAGTTCCAAAAAAATCAATTAAACAAATACATTTTTTTTAAGTAAAAGAAACAATTGGTTGTCACAAAGAACATCCAATGTTGAGATTATGAAATTCTGGCTAATGAGAATTAGAACCAGATAGTTTTAGACATTTGTTTTCATTACACTCTGAAGTTTTAAGTAGTTTACCAATATTATGAACCTGCACAACAGAACGAGCAACACAAATTAAGAGATTCATCTGAATGATGGCACTCTGCAGGTACACACTAAACTAAACATAGTTATAATACATACATTTAGAAATGGTATCAAGCCATTGTTTCAAAAACATTGAAGCACAAACTGCCCAGATCTAACAAAAGCCACAATGTCAGATTAAGGTTCAAACAAACATGGAGCAAAACCCACAGTACTGTGCTCTTCGGTAAGCTGTCACATCAACTTAAAAAAAAAACAAAAACCACACACACTTTGGATTAGAGTAAAATTAGATGTCATGGACTTCACTCCCTAAAAGAGTAAAATTATTTGTCCAGCCATCTTATCAAAAGATATTCAAAAGTTAATGGTTAGTGAGATTATTTAAACTGGAAAAAATGTATCTAGCCACAAATTGTACTTTGACCCCACTTATGCACAGACTGCACACTTGCATAAGTTTCTGAACAGGTGTCTACTCCACATTAGCATGTCAAGCAAAGCCTTTTAAAAGCAAAAAGGACCAAAAGTCTTAATTGTAGGATTTCAGGTATTTTCCCTACAGGCACACCAAGGACCTTTGTGCTCAGAGCCTAGTATCTTCCTTCTCTCAAAATGGCTAGTTTTTCCAGTTTAAAAACAAAAAATACAAAAACTTCCAAACTTAAAAAGAAAATTTACAAATGCATAGTGAAAACCAAAAAGGATGACACAGAGTGATGAGGCTTTCATGCTGACATGCATTAGACACCTGTCATAACGGACAATTAAAAATTACATGACGTTTCCCTGGGTTATTATTGGTGCTATTTCAAAACTATCAGCTTTGATAACAGAAAGAAAACAGTTGGGTTCTGCCAGGCTTTCAAGAAGTCACTTACACAGACTAGAAACACGACCATGATCCAAAGGTCCTCAAGTTTCTAATCATAATTAAATATCAAAGGCCTTAGCTAAAGTCCTCAACATTTAAATCACAGGGGAAAATATACCTACAAATGACCTGAGAAACTAGGGGGGGGGGTGATGGGGGTAGATGAAAAAAAAAGACAAACAAGGAAAACACCCATTACTGTTAAGCAGCAAAAACCCTTGTTAAGAACCAGAAGTTGATATAATCTTCAGTTTTGGAAAAAAACTGTCAGGATGGGCTAAATTATTTTGTATTCATTCCAGGTGTCTGAGAAAATAAACCACTAAAAAAGAGTTTTCCTAAACTGACATTTCAATTTTCTGTGGTTGGACACCAGTGAAAATATAAACACAAAATTTCAAAGATATTCAAAGTATTTTCAATAATGTAATGTCACTGCTAGCGTTTAAATATGAAAATAAAAATACAAGCAAAATTTGGAGAGTATGTCAAAGGCATTTCACGATGACATATGGCTGATTAATGCCCACTGAAACAAAAGATGACTTATGAGCCTGCAGACAACTCTTCTTTCTATTATTGAAATCAGAAATTTGAATGGATACAAAAATAAAAACTCATCTCTGATGAAAAACACAAGTTTTGAAATATGCACAATTAAATTAGAACTGTACCTGCTACATCTCTCTGAAAAAGTCAGTGAAACCACCACCACACACCAACAACTGACCAAAGAATTCTGATTTTAAAAGCACCTACTCACTTCCTGCATACTAGTGTAAGCATAAGACATATGTGGTTTGTAACATACTCCTCAATTTTTACTGAACAGTTACTGCTACAAACCAAAAGTGCATATACAGGATACAGAACTCAAGAGCCAATGATAAAAATGTGTATGTTAAAGCAAACTCTCTGGGAATAAACCACGTATTTTAAGAGAAATACTCAAATACCTGAATAAAATAATCACAATGCTATATGATTTACCAGCTTATACTAATGAGATTCCTGATCAAATTTCAGCCACACAAACATTTCTGGTACAGGAATTATTTACCTACATACCAATCAAGCCATTTTCAGGTGTATATTATCATCTTTATATAGTCAGTGGGCTCTTTGTTTTCCAAATTGACTTTTCAAATTTCTGGTTTTGTAACTTGGAGGATTTTTTTAAGCTTAAGCTTAAAAAAGAAAAAACTGCAGAAAAAGAGGAAAAAAGTTACTCATAAGAGTGGGAACTCCTAATTAAAGTAAATCCATTTGCCTGCTACCTTTAGGGCATCCCTTTCACTTAAAATAATAGCTAAACTCTCCTGACTTCTATTTTAAAGAGGTTTATAAAAATATAAAAAAGAAGAAAGCTACAACTAAACAACTAATTAAAAAGAAAATTTCATCCAATGCTGTATCCCATCACACATCACAAAACAGGAACCATGTCAAAGTACTAAATACAAGTTACATATGGACTTTAAGACGCACCACGGACAATGATCATGACCAGGTAATCTTCTTCAGATTTGGCCAGTGCCTTGGCAGGGGAATCCAGGAACTGCTGGGAGAACTCACAGGGTGGGAAGGCATGAAGGACTCCGGTGTTTTCCTTGTCTTTGTTGCCCCCCACAGGGAGGCTGATCACCCCGGCGGCCTGCTTTTGCTTTAAATAGGACACGAGGTTCCTAAGTGGCCTCTGAGTAGAGGTGGCAGTGTCTGAGGTGGCCGAAGAAGAGGAGGACCTGCTATCAGAACTTCCAGGCACAGCCAGAAGAATAGCATAACCATTGGGCCCTGCCACTTTGATGCGTCGAGTTACTTCATCCAACTTGGGCTGGTCCAAACGAAGACGCTGAGTGATTTTGAGCTGGGCCACTTTGCCTCCAGTTGAGCCCTCCACAAGAAGACTACTAGCCACCTGGAGGTCACCCTGCAACAGATGCATGTTGGAAGGAAAGTTGCTGTTCTTCAACAGAAGCATGCCCTGCCAGGCCAAACAGAGTTTGGGAGAGGCTGCTGCTGCAGGGGCTGTCCCACCATCCTGTTTCTGGGAAGGGGACTTCAGCTTCGATGAAGCAGTGCTGGTGCTGGGTGCACTCCCATCAGACCGGTCTTCTTTTTTCAGAGGGCTTTTTCCCTCAGTGGAAGCAGCTGTCCGGTGCTTCCTATCCCGTTCAGCTGATGCAGAGTTTTTACGGTCTCGCTTGTCACCCTGGCTCTTCTCCAAACTACCTCGCCGGTCTCTGATTGGAGAGGGCCTTTCCAAGAGAAGACGGGAAGATCGATCATTGTCACTGTTGTAGCGATCCCGGCTACTGCTCAATTCTGGGCTGCGGTCAGGAGAAGGTGCACAATGACGTTTTCGTGGACGGTCACTCTCCGGGGACCTATCCAGATGCCGTCCCCCGCTCTCCTCAGGCAGCCTTCGCTTCCTAGGTTGGTCTCTGCTGCTGGGCAGATCTCGATCACCTCTGTCCCGGTCCAAGGACCAGCCATCCCGCCTGCGATCCAAGCTATCCAGTGGCTCATAAGCAGGCACAGCAGTAGCTGCAGTCCGAGTGCTGCGTTCACGAACTGGGGGCGGCGGTGGCACCCAATCGGAGTCAGGATAAAGGTCCCTATCACGATCTCTGTATAGTAACGGTGGTGTCCTGTCCCGAGCACCCCTCAAAGGGTCAGGTGCCCGGTGTCCAAAAGCATCTGTCACCAGTTCATAATGAGTTAAGGGCAGAGGCTGCAGATATTGCTGCTGGTAACGATGTTCTGTGTCTGCAAAGTCTACTCTAAGGCGACGATCTGGGCCACCAAGTGGGAAGCCCCGCATATGGGTCCAGGCAGCATGAGCTGCATCCAGGCTTTCGTACTGGATATACGCCCAACTATCACCTTTGCGGTAGTCAATGGTGCGTATGGTGCCAAATCGGTCAAACTCCCGTGCCAGGGCAGCAAGAGGCACCCAAGGACCCAGGCCACCTACCCAGAGGCGGGTGGTGGGTGTAGCTTTGCCATAACCAATTTTTATAGGATTCCGAATTATAATTTTGCCAGACATTGCTAGTTTGGCCCGGTGAGACATGTCTAGGTTCTCAAATTTGAGAAAACCATAGGTACTGGTCTGGCCCCGAGAAGGCCTCTTGATATCTACTTCTGTGATGACTCCGAAACGATCAAAAGCCCTTCTTAGATCACTCTCTGTCACAGTGATGTCTAGGTTGCCCAAGAAAAGCGTCCGGTTAGCGCGCTGATCATCCTCGGGTGAGATCTCATCCACTTCTCTGAAAGGAGCAGCACCTGCTCCAGCTCCCACCCTTGGCTCCAGACTGTAGGCTGGGCGTACTCTCTCATAGAACGAGTAGTCTCGCTCCCTCTCCAGGTCTCGGGGCAATGGTGGCGGAGGTGGAGGGGGCAGGCGGCCAAGAGCCAACTGCTGCAACCGGTAGTCTCTGTATCCCAAGGCTGCGCCACCAGGGGAAAGTGATCTCTGGCCTCCACCACCTCCTCCAGGGGGGTGCCGGTGACCACCTACAGAGGACCCGACAACACTGGCTGACGGAGGATAAGAATCTTTGTCTAAAGGGGAGCGGCTGCGGCGCCGGCTCACATACACAGCTTCTATCTTCAGGGGCCGGTCATAGAGCACTAGACGGCCTCTGGCATGCTTGGCCGCCCGCGCGTCCTCTGGCCGCCGGAAGTTCACAAAGGCTACTCGCTCATCCCCGCTGCCAGAACCCGAGAGATGACTGATTTTGACACTTACATCACCGAAGCGTTTGAACTCGTGAAACAGTCCGTCCTCCACCGCTTCGTCACTCAGCTGAGACCCCAACTCGCTTATCTTCAATGTCTTGTATTCCCCGCCGTCCCCGCCGCCAGGAGCTGAAGAGGCGGCCCCAGAGGAACGTGACTCCCCGCCTCCACCCCGGGAGCTGCTGCGCGACTCGCCCCCGCCCGAGGAATTTTTGGTGCTTGGGGAGCTGTAACTATGCAAGCGGCTACTGGAGCTGCCCCCACCGGTGTCGTACTCGCGGCTACCACCTCGGCTGCTAGACTTGTCCAGATGAAGGCTGCGCCGCGACCCGCCGCCGCCGTCGGTCTTTCCACTGCTGCTTCCATTGCTGCCACCAGAGCCCCCTAACTTCTTGCTCCGCTCCCCGCGGGGAGTCGAGTCCTCACCACCACGGGAGCGTTTCGGCTTGACTGGGGAGCGCTCTTTTCCCTTCATTGTAGCGGGTCGTCGGAGGTCTTCTCCGCGAAACTGACTAACCCGCCGCCCCGCGCTCGTTTCACACAGCGGAACCGCACGCCGCCATCTTGGACTCCGCCGCGGCAGAGGTTCCCGCCCCGCAGTCTTCATTGGTCAATTAGCTCCTCTCTTCTACAGTCTCATTGGGAAAACTATTTGTCTGTCTTTACATCTCCCCGCGCTCCGGGAAGGCGCCCGCCCGACCACTGTTATTGGGTTCCCAACGCCCTAGTCAGAGTACCTCATTGGTTCTAGTCGTTGTCCGTCTTAACGGTTCCTCGCGCCAGACTGTAGCTCCGCCCCCCGCACTCTATGGTCACCTGACCCGAAGTCTGGAGGCGTTGATTGGACAAAAAGTCTGCCCTGTAACGGTACTTCTTGCGCGGTGGAAGCGGTGATCCCACCTCCTCATCCCTTTCATTGGTTTACGACCCCGTCCTTTAGCCTACTATTTGGGAAGTCGGGCCATATGTTCTAGCATTTTTTTCTGAGAGGCCGGGTCACTGCGATCTCGCGAGAGAGGCAGAGTGTGAGACAGAGAGAGAGAGAAAAAGGGAGGGGGAGGGTTCCCTCCTTCTACCCACTTCTTCCAACTCCTCCGGCGGCTGAAAGAAGTTTAAATCTGATTGGACGTTGACGAGGAAATTGATAGGCCGAAATAACTGTCCATCACTCGCTTAAAGGGGTAGGCCCCTACACTGAGGAGGCTGCCTGAAGGTGAAAGAGTAGAATACGCGCTTGCTCTGCGACGTCAGTTAGACGTCGCGAGACGGTGACCATAAACCAGATCCGCCTCCCCACGCTTTCTGCGTTCTCCTCTCCAACATTTGTTCGGTCCCGCTGCGTACTTGGTTGTGCTTTGGTCCTCGGGCCTCAGAACTTCTGGGCTTCCTACTTCCTACCTGTGTGGGACAAGGGTCTGGGCAGGCTCTCCGGCTGTCGGGACCCACGAACCCTTCAGGAAGCCGTCGCGGGGCGCCCACCGGACACCATCTTAGCCCCTCTGGCCTCTGCGGGAACAGCCTGAAAAAGCCCCACCCCACCCTACCCCACCCCCATGCGCCAGAAAGCGCTCAGGGGCCCGCGGGGCAGGTGGGCGGGGCCGGGAGTTCACAGTTCACAAAGCGCCGGCTCACACTAACGTCAGGGGCAGGGCGGCGGCAGTTTTGGGCTCTTGGGGACCCGCAGCCAGGACGCAGCGGAGCTGGGGCGCAGCCCTGGCTCGGGAGCCGGCCTTCCTCTGCGTGTTCCGTTTTCGCCTGAGTGCCCCCGGGCAACCCAGGAGAGTCACTGATGCTTCCAGTTTCGCCGCCCGCGGGCGGGGTGGGGACTGTCAGGCCAGGGCGGAGGGGTCAGGGCTTCCTGTTTTGTGTTGCAAATTTACGTGGATTTGGGGTTTTGTAGTTCCGTAATAGAGCTGCGTTTGTTTTTCATATGTAGTATCCCTCCCTGTTGAATAATCGAGTGCAATTTACGCTCCATGCAGATGTGTCGCGTTTTTTTCTGTGGCTTCTTGTACGTCACCCCACCCCGGGTTAGTCTATACTAGAACCCAGTAGAACAGCCACCTTTCTGTCTGTAAACCCATCTCTTTTAGTTCTTTCAATCGTTAACCGCTTTAAAACCCAACTTTCTTTCCACAGATCTTCATCGTGTCAGACGATAAAGCACTTGCGCGAGGTGCCGGAGACCAAGATGATAACAGGTACCGCCTCTGTCCGGCTGCCCACCGTCTGGTGAAGGGAGGTAGTGCTGAGTTCATCACAGGGGTTAGGTTTCTGCAGTCCTCCCCGATATCCTCCGGGCAGAGGTTAAGAGGATTCTTGTATTGATCCTCTCAACCACACCTCTCAAGATCCTATCTGTAAGGAGAGAATGTGAGATGTTTTTTAAAGGCATTTTTCAAGGTAACAGGGTCCCCCAAACTGAAACCTAAACTTGAAACTTTTAAGATTAGGGACTGCAACCTGTTTACCCCAGCCTTAGCCATCCTTCTTTTTATTAAGTAATCTTGAGGAAGGTGAAGATATGAGCCTTTTGTCTCTTGATTACATCAAAAAATTTGAAAGAAGCCCAGTATGTAAAAGCATATCTATGATATTGTATTGTGTAGACATAGTCATTGTATTAAAACCAGGTAGTGAAATAACTTCATGAGACATAGTACGATGTGTATAATATGCTACCATTTGTGGTTTTAAAAAATGATATACCTGTATATGTGTTTGTACATTTTTTAATATATATTCATAGAAACTTAATTGAGAATACTTAGAAGTTGTTACTGAGATCATGCTAAGGAGGGGCTAGGTGGAAAAAGACAAGTTTTCATTCTATACCTTTATGCATTATTAAAAGAAAACTTTTGTTTACCATGTGCATGCTATTGCTGTTTCATTGTTTTCAAAATAGCAATTTTTTTAGCTTTCCTTAAAAAACTTTTTATGGAAAAACTAAAAAATATACAAAAGTAGAATGCTATAAAGAATTCTCTTGTGCCCAACACCCAATTTCAACAGTTTTCAAATCATGTCAATCTTGTTTCATCTACACTGTCCTCTTGCTCTTCCCCCTCTTCATTATTTTATCTGCCCCTGACATGGAATCAGCCATTTCTCCTAGGGGTTCTGGTTCCTTTTAGTGGGAAATGATACTTACAGATAGAAATCTGGATGCTAGGGAATTAAAAAAAACACATTATTCAAAAGAAAAAACTTTGCATAGTTAGGAGGTTTCAGTTTTCATCTGTTTCAAGGTTATAGTAACACAACACAAAGTTGAAGTTAAGCCATTATCTGATTACTTTAATCAGTGTTATAGCCAATCCAAATAAATCAGGTTCCATCCAAGGTGACTATTTTTGGCCTAAATTGACCTGCTTAGATGACTCACTGATCAAAAAAAAAAAAAAAAAAAAAGGACCAAATAAGTATAGTTTCCCAAATCTCATCATAGGGACTGAGGGAGCACAAGAATTGAGGGAGAGAAGTCAGAGAGCAATACCAGTATGTGTGGCAGTGCCTGAGGCTCTGCTAGGCTTAGTGGCTTGCCATTTGAAATACTAGGGAACTTGATGGAAGATACTGCCCACATGTGGCTGCAGTAGGAAGGTTTATCTAAGGGGTGGGGAGCTGACAGCCTGTCTGGTATCAAGAGGACTGGTAAGTTTAATGGGTAGACAGAAAAGGACTGGATTCCATTATCAATAACAGAGCCAAAATATAGCCTGTGGGGTGTGTGTGCGTGTGTGTGTGTGTGTGTGTGTGTGTGTGTGTGTGTGTGTGTCGGTAGGACAGAACTGAATAATGATATGTTGATCCAAGATGTACTTAAAATAAGTAATTTATTTTGTTTTCATTTTCTCTGTGTTTTTTAAAGTATGAAGTGGCTTAGTGAGGTTATATCAGCCTATGTTCACACATGCACTTTAGAGAGAGCTGAGAGAGGATAAAAGTGACCCATGGTTTAGAGGGCCAAGACTTTAAACACTTTTTCTTGTGTTGGTGAGCGAGTTGTTGAGGTCCAGTCCAGGCTTTCATCTGGTCTCCTTGTGATCTATGGCCAGATTTGTGAGGATAACTGACTGTGAGAAGGATCTTTCAGCGGTCATGAAAACAGAGTTAAGCTACCAAGCTATCATAGCAGCATGTTGATCTCTCCTTTTAGTGCCTGTCGAAAACGAAGAAATAGTGTTGAGGAAAAGCTGCCATTGCCCATTGTGGTGTCAGTGTTGGCCCCTTGGAGCTGTACAACTCAAAGGCCCTAGAGGACGCACCCAGCAGGAGATTGGCCACAACTAGCTGTCTAAATGCAGTGCTTTCTCCATCTCCTTTAAAATCAGTTTTAGATTAAAAAGGAAAGCAAAATAAAAGTTATGTGCATGGAAGAAAGCTGTGCAATTAAAAGGTATCAATATGTTTTCAATCAAATGTGTTCTTTCCACCCTCTTCCTTCCTAGGTTTTACTGTTTGTGTATCCTCAGTACATACAGAGACAGTTATGACTGCAATATGAAATTTATCTTGGGAGCCGAGAGCCCTTTGATTTCCCTGACAGATACAGAAAGGCCTGAAGCTGGGAATTTTAAAAAAAAATTTTCCCACTCACAGTAGTGGATTAAAATTTTCTGCTTCATTTTCTTTCATAAAGTGAGTGGTTTCCTAACAGTAAGGTTTGTTTTGTTTGCTCTGCAGAAAAAGTGTGTATTTTACCCATAGACATATATGAAATCCCTAAAATAGCGAACAATCATTTGGGACACAGTTTGCATTATAAAGTCACTTATTTGTGGTTTGTAGAATTTTTAAAAACAGCTTTATTAAGATATAATTTACATACCATAAAATTCACCCATTTAAAGCATACAGTTCAGTGGTGTTTAGTATACTTAAAAAGCTGTGCATGTGGTTCATCCTTTAACATTGTTACAGAAAGCCTCTGTTATAATTTCTCCTACATGACTAAACCCTAATACAATTATCTCTTTCATTTATTTAGACATAGGGCAGTGTCTAAGAGCATGAACTCTGGAAACAGCCAGCCTGGATTAAATCCTAGCTCTGCTGTGGGTCTCAAGAGTTACTGTTAATCTCTCTGGGCCTTTATTTTCTCATCTGTAAAATGGGAATAATCATAGAACCTCTTTACTGGGAAGATTAAATGGGTTAAAACACACTGTTGACCCTCAGTATCCACAGGTTCTGCATCCTTGGATTCAACCAACCGTGGGTCACCTGACTGTATTAAGAGCTTAGAAGATGTCTAGTGGTGGTGTAGTGTATAAGACTCCACGCTCCCAAAGCAGGGGCCCAGGTTTGATCCCTAGTCAGGGAACTAGATCCCACATGCGTGCAGCAACTAAGGAGCCTGCCTGCCACAAGTAAGACTCAGTGCAACCAAATAAATAAAGATTTTTAAAAAATTATTACTCTAAAAAAAAAAAAAGAACAGTGCCCAGTACACAGTAAGCATGTATTGCTATTGCTAGTATCTTTTCTCTCTGAACTTGAGTACACAGAATTGGATTAATCATAATCCTTAGTTCATGACACATAATTATCAATGGTCCGTCCATGGGCCTTTAAACTTTTCATTTACTTATCAAGAACATAGTGAATACCCATGAACCTATCATTCAATGCAAGAAAAAGACAGTTATCAATAATTTACACCTACATAAATGTTTCTCCCTTACCCACTGCCTACCCTCATAGATGGC